GGCGGGGAGAGGGAAAGGACGGGGATAGATGAGAGAAGAGAAAAGAAAAAAGTTTTTGGAGCGGGAAGATATTAAATGATAATATCCAGTAATAAATTGATTTCATTGAAACAGCTGCATCGAGAATGTCTAAAGGATGGAACCTGTTTGCTTGCATTATTCGACATTCAAAAACGCATAGTAAACATTTATGATTGCACTTCCTTCGATTAGGGCTCTTTGGCTGAGCAGTAGCAATTAACAGTCTATAAAAATTTTTGGTACGGCTGTTTTAGCTCCTTTATAGATAGTCTTTTTATTCGCAGTCATTTTGGTTTTAATATTAGCTATATTTCTGGACTTCCAAAACTCTCATTCAATCGACAAATAATTTGACCTCTAAAGACATAAATCAACAATTATAAGAGTATAGTCAATTAAGCAGTCCATAACAATTCTTTCCGTTTAATTAGGCCAAACATAATAATTCCACCATCAGCATACTCTATTGCACAAGCAATGTTAGCTTGTGACACTATAATATCATTATTATTATTATTAACAATTCCATTTTGATATTCTGAATTACAAGACATAATTATATTTGAATCTCAAAATTAACATTATCTGATATGAGCACTTTAGGTAACGTTGTTAATTATGATTTAATAATCAAATCAAACAAACAACAACAACAACAGCAGTACCTGCTATTTTGAATGAATATTAGGGATCAATTAATATTCAATTTAATATTCCAAGAAGAAAAAAAAGAGATCAATTAATACTTAAATTTTAATATTCACCTTTTCTGAACAGTACAAAGCGTTTTCATCACTTAGTTTCAGTTCCTTAAAAAAATTATCTTGCAGTAACAGTTTTTCATACCTATAATTAAGAGGAAATATTTGCTCTTACATTTTAAGCATTAAAGCAAAAAGAAAGAGTTGAAATTTAATTAATTCTAATATTTCCGATTTAAGCATTGATATTATAATGATAAGAATAGCACAAATACATTTTTACACTCAGAATTTAAGCCTTATTAAGAAAGGTCCACATACCATATATAATTAAAATGTGTAGAACTACATATATCGTTAGAATACAATAATATATCAATTTCCTGTTTAAATCTATCTTTTGCATAAATATAAATTTTGAAAGTGAAGAAATTGAGAAGTTAATCTTATTATGAGAAAATGATAACCCAAATCAAAATCGATAGGATTATCCCCTATCAATATGCAGCATATGATAGTTTGAATATATACTGAATGTATTGATACCGACCGCTCAGCGGTCTCAAATTTTTACAGAAATAATAAAGAAACGAATTAAGTAATTGATGGATTATATGACAAGCGGTCCACTTAAGATAATGATTGTTGGCTTTGTTCATCGATCATCATTAGAATCAATTGATTACTCTTGTGAATCTCAAAAACGAATAATGAACTTGCTAGATGATCTAATTAGAATCCGCTTATCCCACCTATATTTTGCCTCATTTTCTTTACCGTGGGATCAATCTTCTTTCGTTTTTTCTTTTCTTCTTAATTTGGAGAAAAAATTATTCATTGTTTTTCGATCTTTTTTCTTTATTAAATTGCTTGAATTCATTTCAATATATCATTTCGATCGTTTTTTCCTCATTTGATTGACGACCATGAAGTTATTTCTTTGAAAATGCGTTAATGGATTCACTGCTCGCAAGCTTATCGTATCATTTTCCCAAATCATCATTTTTTGATAACCATACTTTCAACGATCTAACATTCCCATCAATCAGCAATGAATTCCTTCTCAAACTATTTGAAAGTAATCGTTATAGCTTCTCATTGGATTTTTCATTTTAACTTTAGACCTGACTACTGTCGAAATTTCAGTGTTATAGCATTTGTATAAATCAAGTCTGACAAAATACTGTTAGAAAGATAGCTCCATAACCTGCCACAATAAATTTAATGCATTGTTAAAAGAAATCTGCTTTGAAGCAACACAAGAACCACTTTCTGGGAGTTCATTTTGAAGAAAAATAAAAGCTTTTCTTGTTCTAATTTAGTTAGAAAAATAAAGGTCAAAGACTTGGAAAAAAAAAACTGCTGCAACATTACAAGCTGAAATAGAAAGTGATAAAAAGATGAAAAAGAGAAAGAGATAAACGGATGATATTTATTTTAATTGATATTTACATATTTATTTTATTTTATTTTTTTACTTGCGAAAATGATATTTATTTTTTTTTTATTTGCGAAAATATTGGATGATATTTATTTTACAACCGTTCATAGTTATTGCTTATGTATTAGTAAAACGATTGTACGATTAATGACAAATGCACTATTTGCTTATTCGTTATTGATACGATAAAATGAAAAATTAGATAGAAATGATGATATATATATATATATATATATAAATTGATAGTGAATGGTTGTTGATTGGTATATTCTAGTGCTAAATGGCATAACCCTGGGGTCAACAAATGACACAAAGCGCATTTTCAAACAACCAATTAACATGGCTAATTAATCAGCTACACAGTTTAAAGTTTGTTTAGTGGAGGCAACAACTGCTTTATCTTTTCTTACATTCCAAAGGCGGGAATGAATGAGGTGTATAGCTCATTTCAACAACACATTCACTCGCTCAAAATCACCGCATCGCTCTAATCGCATCCATTCAATCCTCTAATATCTTGTCAAACATTAATGAAATTTTATCCAATAATTTTTAAAATTTTGTTCTCAATCTCTTCAACAAGATTTATTTTATTATATAAAAAGAATTTAACATTATTGCAAGCAAACAAACAGATCCCAGATAATTACTTTTTATTCATTCGATGATTTCATAAAACAAGTAAATATTTCAATAACTATTTGTTTCTAACTTTTATCATGCTAAAATATCTTTAAAAAAAAGTTAGCAAAGCCTTTTTTACCATATCCATTATAGCACAACTCGTATGTTTAAATAAACATTAATTACCATCCAATAATTTCAATTCATATGTATAAGTGCACAACTTATATTTGAACGAAAAAGAGACAAGTGGATAAAATTAATGATAACAATTATGATGTATACCGTATCAGATAAATATTTAATTAATTCTTAAAGATTTAAAAGGATTATTATGATAATTCTTTGATAATAATTTTTGTCCTCATCAAAGAGACTGTTATAAGCACTATATTTGTAAAGTAATTTGAAAAAAAAAATTACTGCAACCACTATAATTAAAAGGTTAGCTCATTGCCAGAATACACTGTTTTTTTTTGTGCTTATTATTCATACTAACTCATTATTCAACAAATTGTGGAGAAAAAAATAGTTTCACAGAAATTTATACTAATTTAAATTTCTCACTAACTAGAAAGAATGCTAAAGTAACAGTACATTGCCGAATTATACTAAGAGTGAACCATTATCATTTAATAATTCGTCAATTTGATGCATCATACTTTTAGTTTTTAAGACTTTACTTACACTACACTTTCTGCTGAATCAATTAACATTGTGTATTGTAGGGAAACTCCTCTAAAAATTTGTAACACTATCAAAAATTTTTTTTTGACTGTTTCTTTTAGTGATTTTTTTTTCAAATGGACATTCTATCAGAATGACTGTAATGTTATGATTGGTTAATAACAAGAAAGTATTTAAGCAATATTAATAGTGCTGTTTCAACAAAATATTTTTAAAATGCAAATTTCATATTAAATGGGAAATTTCATCTAAAATTGTGATGAAAACAAAAAAAAATTCATAGTTAGGTAGAGTTATTAGAAATCATCGAATAATCCATTTAATCAAGAAAAAATCTTGAACATGCAAACTAATTAATTACTTTCATTTCCTTATGAATATGCAATTTTGTAATGAAAAGGAAACTGTGGGCTATATACCAAAGAAAAAATATCGAGTCAAAATTTGAAAAGATAATCTAATTCTACTTTTTCTAGTAACTACATCATTCATTTCTTATTCTATGCACTTTATAAATTCCTATCTTATCCTGCACGAATACGGAATATCTTATAACTTCGATACACTGCAATGCGTATAATCGTATTTCGATTTCTGTACCGGTAAGTGAAAAGGCCAATGAGATTCGATTGTTAACAAAACAGAGAAAACCATTTACACTGAGCAATTAACAGAACAGTTGTTAATGATACTGCACTCCATCAATCAATTGCTTGATCATCAATTCGGCTTACTTTGATTGTCACAAAAGTAATTACTGCTACAGCTACTATCGAACAAGCATTAAGTTAGCGTGATGTAGGTAGAAAATTGAAAATGATTCACATCTAAGATCCTATCAGTAGTATCCTACTTGGACAGTTTGGTGCACAATCCATGAGCAAATATATTTGCTTTATACTTTCATCTCCAGGTAATATTAACGATAGCGCAGGAATCTATTATTACAATTAACACTTCCACCACTAATAAAACAGAATGACATTGCGCTGCCGCTGTTTCTTCTTTTACGAATTTCAGTTTTTTTCAAACTTTAACCGAGATTGCACTCATAGGATAGAATATTCTGGGCGAAGTATTATTCAAAATGGGATTTAGTACAAAATAAAACAATAATAACAATAATAAGTGTATTGAAAATGCAATCACTGGATGAATAAGTGTGAGCAAATAAAGAAAACGCCATATGGTAAACAGTTACTTGAATAGAATTGTAATTTTCTTTTTCATCAACTATTATTTAATTGTTAAAAATTACTCAAGAATAAACAGTGCTCGAAATTTCCATAACTCGTAACTCATTTTTGTGGATAAATTAATTAGAAATTCATTTCTGTGATTTATCAATATTATTTCCTTTTTCTTTCGAGATGAAGAGAAGTGTAGAATACAAACAATATTCTCAAACGAACCAAATATAGCGGTAAAGGCGCTTCATAAAATGCGAGTATCACATTGGCTTCAAATTTAAGAAAACAACTAAATATACTTTGGAAAGATTGATAAATACAGTAATTTCACGTCTACTAGGAACGAATAAATGGAATGTAACGCATCAAAGTTGTTTTACGATTATGATTGGCATCACTTGTTTCTGCTGCTTGTAAAACGCCTAACTGTGCTTGTGTTAATAAACACAGTGCTGATGCAACTGCTAAACCTGAAGTACCATGAGGTGTAAATTGTCGCCCTCCTGTTGGTAATCGAACTGCTAAAGTGAATACTCCAGAACGATAGTTACTACACGGTTCAACTGATATGGGAGTAGCCATCTGTAAACAAATTTCTTGTAATTTTGAAATCACATCATCCAACAATGCTTTAAATAAAAGGAAAGTGAACCAGTACGATCTGAATCGTTTAACAAATTATCTACAATGCAAAAAAAGTACCGCAAAGAATTCTCTCAGTAATATATAATGATGCAATGCAATTTTCCACTTTCTTCTAACCGTGTAAATACTGGAGACCAATGATTGCAAGCAAATATGCAATCATTAAAGAAAGCAGAAAATTGCATTGCATCGTAATATATTATTGAGAGAACTGTATTAATGAGGTACTTACCAAATTGGCTCGTGGAGAAGTCAACTCGAGCCTCACAGAGGCGAAAGGACGTGAAGCCATTTGTTCAATTTCATCGTACCGTCTCTGGTTTCGTCTAAATACTTCGATTCGTAATTTAATCATCCATAATAAACCCGCAACAACAAGGAGCACAACAAAACACCTGCAAAAATTTCTCCAGTCATGCATGATAAAATAATGAAAACAACTACTGCTCACATAGAATAATAAACACGCTTGAAAAAATAAATCGAAAGAAAAAACTCGAACTAAAACAGTAAAAACGATCAAACACAACGCTATTGTACGTTTTTCAACATAATGGCTGTGAGATGATTTCTTAGACTTAGATTGTGAATAAGGATATGCACGAAAATAAGTCATAACAAAATGACTTCACAGAATAATTCAAAGTTTCAAGAAAAAACTAAAGCATATTTTAAATCAATATATTTGAATTGAAAGTATACCATAAATATATAACTTAATCAATTATAATTTAGCATATGAAAAAAACAGTAGCTCAAGAAACAAAAGATACACAAACATGTCAAAAATAAAAGAACTTACGCAGCGAATATCACGAAAAATAAGACCCAATTTATTGGAGGCGACTGCGAAAATGAAATTTGTATTTTTATCGGAGTGGAAAAGTTGTAAACTTTTACCTAAAACAATATGTTAATATGTTATACTTCTGACTGAATAGCGACTAAATAACTGTATCGAAAATCTGTCAAATTTATCTTTCTAAATACTTTTTTTTTTAAAATTTCGACGAACCAAGAACGTTGTGTTAGCCTCAGTTCCAAAAATAAATCCAGGTTCAGCATTAGCACTGTAAGCACGCCGGATACCATTTTCATCACAAACAGTCCTTGTCATTAATAGTTTATTTGAACCTGGGTGTCCTTCGAAAAGTGATGAATTGATACTCATCGAAACTAACGCTTTTTCTGACTTCGGAGATTCACAAACTACCGTAAATTGAACATCAGTATCTCTCTAAAAGTATTTTTGAGTATGAGATACCAAACAAACAAGATATATAATTTTAAAATAAAGATCAACTTTTCAAAATGCATTCCAGTAGCCAAACTGGACATTTCGAATAGGATGCATTACGCAGTACTTTATGTGGTGTGCTGAAGAAATTGATCTGGTTCACATATTTGTCTTTTGGATCGTCCTGATCAAGCTTAAATGTGAAAATGAAATCCACCGTCAATTCATCTGGAAAATTAAAAGTAAATGATACACATACAAGAACATAATATACATATGAGATAAAAATATAACAAATTAGATTTTAAACAATTTGAAAAAAGAAGCGAAGTGCTCTCTTTATCTTTTCAATTTTTCATTAAATATAAAATAGGAAGAGATAAGCACGGCCAGTAGATTTCCTCAAACTAACTTCGTCCAAATTTTGAGCACGATTGCATACAGCAAAAATAAAACTTGCAAAAAAAAAAGAAAAGACAGCCGAGTTCCAGATAAAAATTTTTTTCATTCTCTTATTCAACATAATATTGCAATCGTCAATGAACTTACAGTAGCACAACTGATTATTTTCAGGATCTCCATAATACTTTGGTTCACATTTACTACAGTTCTTTCCAGTAACACCTTTTGTGGTACAGTAACAATCGCCAGTTTCTCTGTTGCACATTGTTGCCTGCCCGTTGCAAAAACATTCTAAAAAACAGAGTGAGATCTCCTTCAAAAAAAAAATTCTAAAATTTCATATCAGCAAGAATTCCTCCAAGGATGGATCAAAAATATGGCTACTTCAAAAACAAACTATCTATTGCTGTAATATTACAATTTTAATGACCTCATTTTGGCTTAAATAACTAACTTATTTTTTTGAGAACGCTCTAAAAAACTCGACAAATCAATAAAATTATTATTAATAGACCATGCTGCATATGTAAATAAAAAATGTTCCAACTAGGAACAAACAGTTAAACAGTAGAATTTTCAAAGCGAAAAAACTAAACCTTCACATCTTCCACCATTTCGAGGATCTCCATAGAATCCATCAGCACAGAACTGACAGTGTTCACCAGTTGTGTTATGATCACATTGTGTACAGCTCCTCTCTTCGATATTCCAGTCAAGTGAACGCCTTCTCAGAGTACAATTGCTGTGTCCATTACACTGGCAAGCTGTAGTGTAATGCAATTTCATTAAAATGAAATATTTGTAAAAAGGGCAATTATATTTGCAAATTATAAATTAGAACAGTCAGCATTTGAATACAAAAAATAAAGTATGCATAATATTGTGTTCTAAACGACTTATATTCAGAAAGAAAAAGAACACTTCTCATGAAACCAAGAGATGCCAGAAAGAAAATTCTGGATAGCATTTTACTTTTCGCCTTTAAGCAAAATAACTTATATTTTTAACGTACCTGAGCAATTTGTGAAATACCATTTTGATTTTCCATCTTTCGGACAGAGCAATTCGTCATCAGGTGCTTCAAGACTACCCGGCAGACATCTTCCCAAACCAGTTCCAGAACCGTCGTCGCACCAACCGCAATTTGGTCCTACACGTTGACACTCTGCGCACGTCTTTTGCTTTGAACAATCCATGGGATCTACAATGTTACATTGCCACCGTAATATAAATTATATTAAATGTTTGTTGATTCATTACTTCCGTTTCTGCTTTTCACATCAAACGTTTATTCACAAGAACTTGAAGTACTGGATATTGTTAAAAACAATTATCTATCAAGTCATCTTCATTGATGCACTCCCGCAAATTTTGTTTTTTCAACATAAACCGCAAAGCTGTAGTGTAAAAAAATTACTCAGTTGGCATGCATGTTGATTACTGATTATGTTCGTAGCCGTTACCCATGATTGACATTGTCCATATGGAAAATTGATCATGTAAGCATCCATTGAAACACATCGTGCAGTCGTTGGACACCACATACACTGTTCCTTGATACAAACTTGACAATCTTCATGAAACCAACAAGGTGCTGGACAGGAATCGTTCTTTAACGATGGAGTAAGCGCATTTAATGCAAGTGACGGCATGTGCTCCGATTGGGAATAAGAATGTTGCTGTTGTGGCGCCTCACCTTCCAATAACAAATCTGAAATCTCTTTACATCAACAACTGCAACATATCCGAATTTCAGAATAGAGCAGAGAAAAAATATTTATAGCTTGCATCCTGTTCGACAAATAGAAGTGATTGCAAGTATGCACAAATATAGGAAAGAAAGGAACGTCTCTACAACAACTACCAATAATAATACCAAACAGTTAAGTAAATACTAAGCAAAATATAAAAATAAGGCGGACGAAAAATTACAAACCATAGCTGCTGACACATTTCCATTTGGAATCCTTCATTAGAAACCAACTGCAGTGCCTTAATTTTTTGCAAGCATAACACTCAGCAGCAAAAAAACATGGTCGAGGCTCTTCATCCTTCGGACAAGCATCGAATTTCGCTATTGGATTGGTCCGATCTTTACATAAATTATCAGAAACGCATTCACGACTCCAATGGCACCAACTACATCCTTCTGCAGCTGTACAGGATGCACAGTCCTTTTCTTCGCTGCACCATGATGTTGATCTATAAGCAAAGTTAGAATAAAATATTCAAAAATGAAGTAAACTAAAACAATTTCCTAGCGTGATAACAAATCAAATACAACAAAGTCCCACGACGTTCATCTGACATTTATCAACATGTGACAACTGATAGGAGAATGCATGGCAGGAGAGATATTTCAGAAGGTCCAAGTAAAGTCGATAAGGCATTACACTGAGAGTTGACTGACTAGATTCAAGTTGAAGAAACCACTATAGTCTCGTCCAGACATGATTATTCGGAGTGGTCATAAAGTTATTCAATAAGCATACGGAAGACCAGCCTGGAATCGCAGGTATCAACAAATGGTCGAATTTTGGTAATACTCAATTCGCTGCACGATGGAAGAACGATCTAATATTCTCCAAAAGAAGAATAAACTAGTTGCCGAACTTTATATGTAGAATAATTGTGATAAACTCACTTTCTCCAACTAATCGGACATTTCTGTTCCTCTTTTGGATCTTCGTTTTTCACGTATGATAAAAATGAATGAGCATATGACACATCACGTTGTACAGATTTGCATTTTCCAGCATGGAAAATACAACGTACACCTTCTCTCATGTTACGACAATCATCTGGTCGTTTTAAGCCACCACATTCTGCTGCAAATACTACTTTTAATTTTACACTGCATTATTTCCACAAAATACAACACAGAGACTTAAAAAATTCCAAGTTTGATACAACTTTTAGTCAGTTAAAACTTATAATGAATTCAAACATTGACCTGGCGTGAATTTAACAACATCTGATAACATTATTCCATTGAAACCACCAATTACAAAAATATTATGTTTTGTGACCATAGATGAATGCCCATAACGTTGCAGAAATGACAAATTATTGCTTGATAGTGAAAACCAAGTATCACAACCTGAAATATCCTCATTATCTTTAACAGACAGCAAAATAACCTAAGGAAAAATTTCAGTAAAAGTGCAAACCAAATGTATGGCAATAAAAATAATTAAAAAGGTAACAGCAAGTAATATCCAGAACAAGTTTTCAAGAATCCCCATAAATTTAGATACAAGCAATTTTGAGCAGTAAGCAACAAATCAACAAACAAACCAATATCATATGCTTGAATATCACCAGAATAGCATTCTTGAATGCGTGATGATGACTCATTATGCACATTCCCACCAATAATAATCATTAAATCATTGATCAGTGATGCAGAATGACGAAAGACTGGAGTGTGTCCAGAAGAAAGAGTTCGATGCGAACTATAAATCACATAAAATTCACTTTTTAAAAATCTTTTCAGTAGTAAAAATTTTTGAAAAACTAAAGCCGAAAACTGAATTAGTTGAACATTTCTAATACTTAAAAGCCATTTGCAGCCATACTACTCTCAACATTCATATGAACATAAACCACCTATGCTTGAAACACGACTATTTTAAGTTTAGCGTTCGCTGGATCGTAAGGCAGCAGAAGTTCACGCCACTCAAATCCCTTCAACCATGTTAATTCTTATTTTTTTTGGATCTAGTCACCTAAGTTTATTCTAACAGCTGCATTCAGTAAATCTCGTGATGCAAAAACTTTTGCCGCTCTGCACAAAACATAGAAAAATTACCATTCTCGACTGTCACAAACATATTCTATTAAGGTACTGCTAACTCGTGATAAGAAACCTTCATAAGGCAACAAATAACCACCATAGATCAAGATAACTTCCTTTTTCTCATGAACATACGCAACAAGAGAATGACCAAATCTTCCTTGTACATGAGGACCATGATCCGGAACAATACTCCATCGCTTGGTACCTGAAATATTTCCTTTTGACTGAATACCATGGCAGTTCAATAACGTATTTATCTAAAATGAAGCTGCAGAAAGAAGATTCGGGATAAAGTATATGATGCAAATATATTTGTATATTACACTACATGATGAATTTCCTGAAAACCTAGCATAATTAAATATGTCCAATGTAATCAATTCTATGTGATGGAATTGGGTAAAGTAACTGTGAATTTTGCAGAATATAAGAAAATTTATATCTAAAACTCAAATTCTTGAATTCACAAACAAAACGCTGTATGAGAAAGAAACGGAAAAAAGAAAAAGCGAGATACTTAATATGTAAACTACAAAATACTCACTAATCTTATATTTTTGTATGCTATACATGTATCCAAAATATGGACTATGACCATAAAACACAAGCATTTCATCCCCAATCAAATGCGCGGCATGGCCAGCAACAGCACCAGGCAGAGCATCTGACGCATTATTATTAGTATTTTCCAAAGTCCACTCCAGAGTTCCAAGATCCAAACTCCACAATTCATTGGTCACTATCCGTTCATCAATTACACCACCGAACATATATACAGTGCTCTAAACATAAAATCACACAAAAAACAAAACATAAATAAATGACGACGCAAGGAAACGTAATTTAACTTAATTTCGTAAAATTATACTTTATTTTTGAGGCAGAATGCTAATTTATAAAAGTACTTATACGACTTTGCAGTAGATCAAGCACCATCATAATGTTAATCTTGGTATTATGAGTCATAACCAGTGCTTACCTTATATCTCACAACAGTGTGGTCGTAACGTGATTTAGGAGTATTTTTTGTTGGAATTTCATACCACGATGAATTTGTAATATCGTATACAACAACAAATGAATTGTTAATACCAGTAAAATGGGCTCCACCAATTACCCATATTTTTGTGTCGTTTACAAGTACAGCTGTGTGCGATGCACGTGCGCCAAAATCTCCACTTGTCAAAACTGTTTCAAAAACTGATTGTGTTGTCAAAGCCTGACAACGATCTCCTGTGAAGAGACTGTATTAGTTTTATGAACGACAAAATTAAATATGAAAAGTTGCTTCCAAACAATTGTTTCTTGGTCCTAAATCATTGTTTAACACTTTATATTTCAACATGGAACTAAATCATTATTTAACACTTTATATTTCATTCTCAATCTACTACTCATGAAAATTCATTATCACCGTATAATAGTATTCAACTCTTCAGGCTCGTCAAGCATACGAGATAACAATACCGGATAATTTAGTAGTCATATTCAGAAATTTCAAGAAAAATTCCTCTTTCTTCACCTCACCATCAATTTTACGTGCATATCAAAATATTAAATAAATTATTCAACTCTATATAAAGCAAATGATACCGTGAAAATGCATATTGCAGCTGCACCGATTATCATCGTTGCAAATGCCTGCCATACCACATGCTTTTGATGTTTTATTCCTATCTTTATCAGTGCAAATCAGTGTATCACACTGTATTCCCGTATATCCTTCATAACACTCACAAATGCCTTCAGCACATTTTCCGTTTGATGTGCAATTATTCGGGCATTTACCATAAGCAAAAGTGATGTTGAAACCAGACATGTTAAATGCCAAATCACTGAAGAAATAAACAAGCGCCTTTCCAGATTTGATGCTCACTTCTCTACCAGAGATAACACCACTGAAACATTGTGCTCTGAATAACAATCAAAATCTGCATTATTTTTTGGGCGTTGAAATACGTAAACAGGTCAGTGCACCAGTCAGAAAATTATTTTTGCAAACTTAAATAATCCAAGCTTACATTGCTATAACATGATGACATCAATTTATAACATACCTAAACGCAGCCAGTTGATGGCTTCTAGTTCCTGTCCCATCATATATGTACAAATGATCCCAGCTACACTCGGTAACTAGCGAATCAATCCGCAACAGCAACGTGCCTCGCTTTTTCTCATCTCTAATAATCCACATGCATCGCGAGGAAGAACTATAATTGCGTGGACCATCCGTCAACAATTCACTTTCGTCCGTCAACCTTAAACAAATATAATTTTACGAATTCAGCTGTCCATCTCTAACTCCCCTAAGAAAAGAAAATTTAACAGCTGATAAACAAAATTATATTACAAATTTCGTCCATGACATCGATCACATTGAACGCCACCCCAACCAGCGAAACAACGGCACTTTTCATTCTCACATTTACCCTGATAACACGGCTTATTATCGCAGTTTTTTGATATGGACGCAGACCCGATTCTGAAGTACAATCGTAATCATATGCTAGAACATTACCATGATTGTAATCTGAAGAATAACCATTCCTACTGTAATTCACATAATGATTAAAAGGACGGCCTATGCTTCAAAATATTAACATCAAAAAAAGAAAAAGTAAATAAAAAATGATAGCAATATTAGCTATCATTTTTCATTTACTTTTTAAAAAAAAAGCAGTGGAATACAAAACTTTATTTATCGGAATAACTGCTAACAATAACAGTGAAAGTAAAAATGTGATAAACAGACAAACCGTTCGATGTGTACACTCGAGTAGATTACTGTAGATGCATGGAGGAACATCGCAGCCCATAAGGCAGCACCCATCTCATATATACATTATTATACTTCAAACCACCAACACGGGCGCTATAAATTGAAACTGTAAGTAACGTGGTAATGAATACGCACTGCTAACCATTCACTGGAAAAAGTCCTGTATTTCCAAAGAGCTTCTTAGCTTACTTCTTCATCTCATCCATTCCTAAAAATCTACTCCAGAAGCCAAAATCATTGCATCTTATTGTTCCCGGAAAGAAAAATCCGGAAAGCATGGCAGAACAACTTTAACACGTTACTAAAAAATCCGTGACAATGTTTGCATAACAACTTTAATTAGTAAAGGCCGAGTCGTCATCTCGTATTCCGTGGTTTCGGGCAAAAAGCTTCTTTCTGCTATGAAATTATTGCTGGCATTGCCCGGTGGTGGCACGAAATTGGTAGGTGTGTACAGTGTTTCCGGACTTCCTGTTCCGGAAATTAAAAGAATAGGCCAAGTGGATAGGATTCATATCTATAATTTTGCATACTTTCGATTCTCTTGGTAGTTTTTGGGACGGTTTCCACTATTATCACATACAGTTCTACTGAAATAAACCTGCAACTGAAGTATGTTGAAGATCCCCTGCATACAGTTAAGAATTTTACAAAGATTGTTTAAGTATGATATGAGATGCAAGGACATATGTCACTCTCGGGAACGAGCACCAACTACAATTCATCTTAAGCAATATCTTTTTTACTTGGTAACAGTCTGTCTTAGCTCATTACTTTCTTAAATAGGATAAAAGTCAGGAAACAGTGATGAAGTATGGAAAACAGCAATGAAGAAATTCTCACAAAGTATTCTAATTTTGATTTAACTCCAGAACAACACGAATTCTTCCTCGAAATTTAAAATAATTTTCAGTCAGTTACTTCCTTCAGACCTTATTATCAACTTCTTTAACTCTCTAAAAATCTTTTCTGAAAAAATCTTTTTGGAAGATGCAAGAGCAAATTGCGAATTTCATGTGATCATTTTTTTTTAAAATTATTTGCATTTTCGAGTAAAACTTTTTGGGTTGTATTTTTACGACAATTCAAATTACCAATCTGAGATAGATCACATCAGTCATGCTTCAAACATTTTGTTTAGCATGATATTCTATACCAATAAATGATATTGATGTAGAGTATCTTGCCTGATATCATTAATTATCATTCTGCTGAAATAGGCCTATGATGCAGTCACTCAATCAGTTTTTTTATCAGTCCATTTACAAGTTAGATTTTCTGGGACAAGACATCAAATTCGTTTATTACTAAATGACTCTGCTCGTAATACTCAACTTTACACTATTTCCCATGTCCCATGTACAAGTTAGGGAATGCAATGGGCATGCATTGGACTTTCTCAAATTTTATTTGAACCTTTTCTGTCTACCATACTCTTCTTGCAGCATTCAATTTCGTTTTTTTTTTTAAAGGGCAAGCTGACTCAAAGAAGCATGAAATTGATATTAAAAGCAAAAGATAGATTAGTGCATTCTGCTCTTTTCTTTTTCTATAGCGACATATTCCAGGAAAAAACTGTGCTACTTACTTTTCGTTGTTGTTTCAGCTTTTTATTTCAAAAAAAAAAATTTGTTTTTTCTTCTTTTCAAAGAAAATAGTTGCTGATGCTTAATTTGAGATGTCATCGTACAAAAAAAAACTGAAAATTTGGTATTTTGGTAACATTATGTAACTCTTGATTTTTTTTTGCCTTACCATGTATGATGTTTGTTGTTGCTCATACATAAAACTTTTAATGATTCGAGAATAATGTGAGACTAAGATGCTGAATCAATGGAATATTATCTACCACTAATTAAATAAATTTCGAGTTTGAAAAACCAGTTATTCTGAAAATTTATGATTAAGTTCGCATGGTAAAGTTTATTTTCTTCCAATATCACTAATTATCAACTGCCAGAAAGCAGCAAGCAATCATTTTTTGCTATATAAATTGCCATGCATTTGCTGAAAAATCCACTAGGTTTTTTTTCCGAATTTTCCCTTTTTTCCAAATTTTCATTTCTGCAAAAGCCATTTAAGCAACTCAGGTGGATTGCATTCGAATTGAGCGAACACCGTCGTTCTATCTCGGTGCTCTTTTATTATTATTTTATTTACCTTAAAATCCCAATGAATTCCTTGTAGTTTTTAGCAAACTGTGCTGATATTTTTACAATTTTAAATTCCATTCATAAAATATTCTCATGAGATGTCGAGAAACCAACATAAATGCTACTGTTAAAAGCAAATGCTTATCTAAGAAACTTCCTTTCTCTTACGATGGTGCAAATTCATGGAACTTCATATTTCCTAGTTTTTTGCCAACATCTCTCTCTCTCTCTCTCAGTATAGATATTATTTCCGAAATTAAGTAAATTTTGATGCAGTGTAATTTAGCGAATTACTCGAATTTCAAACCCTTTTAAATTAAATAAAACAATTTCCAGTTGGAAGCTTTTAACGAGTTTCATTTATTGGTATTGACCTGGTTAAAATATTTCTAATAATAATTTCGGAATATTAATAAGTATTGTGAAAAATTTTACTTGGTTTGGAAAAGCAGATTGGTATTCCACGACAATTGTGGTTGAAAGGTTTATTCGAAGGAAGATTTGGCATATTGACAATGAACGGCGTCCAAAGATGAAATACTCCTATTTCGGACAATTGATTGAATGAGAATTGATCGAGTCGCTTTGTTCTAAGAAAGAATACACGTCATGGTTATGGAGAGTCCTATAACGTAAGTAACATCATATATGTATATATATACCCAACATTAGGCGATAAAGGGATAGTCATTTAGATATAAATCAATAGAAATCACGTATCTAATCAGTAGAAACCACGTAAAGATGCGTGGTTTCTATTGATTTATTCGCAAAAGATCATATAGATATACATAGGATAAATTAATAACATGTTATGCAGACTTAAGAGAGATATCCCATAATTAGGCAATGTAATGCGATGAAGAGGAAGAAGCGATGGGAAACACACATACACACTAAAAAATAATGCCTATCAAAAAGTGCACGTTAGCTACATTTGTTCTTATACATAAAAAAGATGAGGTGAATGAAAATTGTGAATGACATTCGAGCAACAACGAAATAAAGAATATCATATGACAAGAAATTAATTTAACATTGACGAAAGATTATGGAGGGCAACTTGTTGTAGCCTAATTGTCAGTTATACTAATTAATTGTATGATTAAACAGAGTAGCATTATCTTTACTTTCCTGGAAGATTGGATAAATAAATTATTTTTATGATATGCAGCTGCGATATAAGCAGCTAATGTATTGCGCTGAACATTCACAGAATCTTCATCCTTCAATAGAATCCTTTTCCTACTCTCGTTTTTACTCTCATATTGCAATAAAATCATCTGCATGAAAGTGGAATTCTATACTAACAATTATATAAATATGCCAATTCGTTCTGTTATCAATTTTTTGTTAGAATTCCAAATTTTTCACATCTATCGGATGAATGCAATTTCTGTTTACTCTATTGCCAGTTGATCTATCCTTCCAACTAGCGCAGGTATTCAGGCCTTATTGTTTAGTTCGCATAGCATCCTAAAAGAATATACTGCAAAAAAAATTCATTTATCATTAGTATTATTGCAATACATAGCTTTTCGCAATCAGTTCAAAATTAAGATATTATTTTAAACAATGTTTAATAATTTAAAATGTTGATGTTTAATTTTTTATAGTTTCTATTCGTTGTGACAGCAAAAAAATTCAAATCTTAAATCATTCTGAAATCAATTCTATAAAGAATGATAACGCTATCAACAAATTCAGTACTGCAATCGTGTAATTGTCCAATTTTAATTATTGCAGTTTAAAAATAAATTTTGAAACAATTGTTTCACATTTTCTAGATTTTATGTGATGGACGAACAATGTTGCAATGTTTAGCGCATTGTCAAGCTTGTGCATGCGAGAACGATTCTGGTGATGGCGTAGGCGTAATAATTGCTATTTCGGATTGGTTCTACTTGAAAGTCTCAGAAAGTGACTAAATAAATGTAATTCCGTTCTAATTTCTGAGCTGTTTAGACTTTTTACTTTCTTTTAATTGGTATGTCTGGAAAACGTATATATACCTCAGTGGGTGATATATATATATATATATATCATGATAATTTTTTTTTGTTCTTCAATTCTTCAAAGTTTTGTTGTAGCAATAAAGAAGGAATCGAATTATCTTCAGTTGCTATTTCTCAAAAATGATTCATACAAATAAGCTATCGAAACATTTACAGATTTGGTTAATAGTTACAATTTGAAAGTTATTGATTGACATAAATACAAACAAATCAGGAAAAAAATGAAACTGAAACACAGCCATACATATACAGGTTCAATTATCACTTCATTTCTTGTAGATTTTTGAATTTGTTCATTTTTTCAAATTTTTGTGAATTTGATTTCTCAAATTTTATTTTCGAATTTTCATGTTATAAATTACCATTCTAGGTATTTGTTACAGTACTGTACGCTGCCACCGATACGGAATTGTTTTCAACGCAACATTTATGTGTTGCGGAAACAGGCTTTAGTACAGTTAGCCAAACAAAAAATTGAATGCTATGTTGTATTTCCCGGTAATTCAAGAGTTATTTATAAGATCAGTCAGAGGTTGATGTTTTATTTAGGTGACTGATTCTAAAACATTTTATGATGTTAGCCTGAAATCAAAAATACTATTTGAGATACCGTGTGATCAGAAATATGCAAAAATAATAACCAAACTGTAGTGTTAATGTACTTCTAACCTCTTATCATAATTTCAGGGACAATTTACACTGAATCGACTCTATCATTCTGATTTGACAAATCCAGAATATGTATCATACATGGCAATGGTTCATAGCCGCTTTTCAACCAATACATTTCCGTCATGGTGCAGAGCAGAACCGAGTTAATATTATTATTAAAAATAAAAACAAAAAATGGTATAGATGCTTGCCGAACACATTTATTCGAGATTCTTTCCTTTCCAGATCAGTTTTTCGTGACAGCTGAGATTCATTCTCTCCTTACTGACACCAAGAATTTGTAAAATAATTAATAATTTGTTTTATATTTTAATGAATTCAATTCATTTGCTGTTTATAATATCTTATATTGAATTAGTTTTGCTTCTGTGTGAAAAGTTTTCAAATGTATAGATTAGTTGCTCACAATGGTAAAATTAATCTTCATGTGGGAAATGTCAATTTCATGCATACTCACGAAAGTGTTATGAGGAATCGTACATAAGTATCAATCTTCAGAAACTGTAATTTCTTTATTATTATGCTAAATATCTAAAAGGTGAGTAGCTAAATTATTTTTCAACAATTGTTTATTTTCAAATTACATCATTCTTTATTTTCTTCATCTTCTAAGAAGTAATGGAAACAGTTCCACTGTTTTTCATCTAAAATTGGAAAATTCAATTTTTCTTGCATTCGAAAATGGCACAAAATATTCAGACTGACTCTACCACCTACGACTGCTCCTTTTATGGGCTCGATATTTGTAAGGAAGAGCTTACAATGAACGGAATTCCCATATAAGGATAAGGATATGGCTTTAAAAAAAAATGAGAATTCACATGACAAGGAATACATGAGAAGAGACGATTTTTTATAACCTAAAAGCGGCTAAATATGATGGGAACGTTTAGATTAATTATTTGGAACAAAGATAACTGTTGAAATAAAGATTGCAGTGTGAATCAGGTTGAGAACGTGAAAATTAACGGAAATATTACAAATGATGAATCATTAAGAAGGGTCTTTAGTTTAATTATTTGGTTTGTCTATGTGATAAATATTGGAGTTAAATTAATTTCGAGAAGTTCCGAATTTGTTCTTGCCAATTTTGCTGGAGCAACTTAGATTGAAATGGCATGAGACAAGCGAGTTTCTATACTATAAAGGATGAGCAATTTTCTTGGCCAGCGAAGTAGGATAGTAGATTTGACAGAGGAAAATGTCATAGGAAAGATTAAACATTATTAAATATTTCAAATTTCATTTAAAGATATTACCTAAATTTGAGAGTAAAATATCGTACGTTGAATATTGTTTATTTTATCCTGTAATTCATTATGCATGCCAGTTAGTTGCTAACTACCTTACAAACCATTTAATTTAATTGCACGTTTCATTATTGAGATTTGAGAGTGAGGTGTTTTTCTGAACTTGATTTTTCTAAACCTTTTTTTTTCTGAAGGCGCAACTTGCCCAACCTAAAATTACACTAGAATGATTACGGAGAGAAACAAAGACTAAAGATTTGCGTGAAGTTCTAGATTCCTTGTGTCACCATAATAAACAGAGTAGAAATATATAATAATAATAATGATCATAGAGAAATAATAATAATAGTCAAAAATAACGACTAATAATAATAAATAATAATCACGATAATAACCATAATATTAATAATAATAATAGTAGTAACAATAATGATAATAAATAATAATAGTAAAAATAATAATAAATAGCAATAGTAGAGTTATGGTTTTAGTTTTCAGTTTTTTCCATAAAGGTTCCCAACTAAAATCCTTCCTCTCATTGATGTGAGCATTAAAAAGATGTATTTCAAAATAATGAAGCTGTAGTAGTGGTATTATTAATAAATAATAAGCATAATCTGAAATTTATTTAATTTTGAATTAGTTCTGACTTCATATAGGAAAACTTTATGTTAGTAGAGGTCATCATTTGTTAGAAGAAATTAAAGAATTAAATAGCATAGTAACAAACTCAGTTCCATATTCTATTTTGCAGAATTATTTTGTACGAGTGCGAAAAAAAAATTGAATTTTCCAATTTTAGATGAAAAACGATGGAATTGTTTCTATCACTTCTTAGAAAATGAAGAAAATAAAGAATGATGTAGTTTGAAAGTAAATAATTGTTGAAAAATAATAATTTTATCTAAAAGAAAATATCGGAGTGACGAATGAAATTGATAATTGCGCGTTAGATTATTTCTGGAATATTGTACATAATAACAAATTTGATAGTGAACTTAGTATAGATGTGAAATAATTGTTCCGCATGATCGTACTTTCCTAGGAGAAGGCGAAAACTTAATTTATTTCATATTTCTGTTGTTACTCTCCTCTCCAGCAAAACTAAATCATGCGTTTATGTTATCGGACAGAGCCAATTTATGGCACTAATTGATAGTCCTAAAAGGTCGCATTAATAAGCAAAATAGAGTGAAATGAACCTTCAAAAAAATGTATCTACTGGCAATGCATTTACGAAATGAATCAAATCTGATATTATAACATTGAATTTGATAAAATTAATAATATCAAATGAAATTTATTTTAAAAAATAGAAAACGCGGTAAAGGTCAAAGTTAATATCTGATTGTTTTGTTTTTGATGCATTTCATTCATGGAGTTGAAGTTATATTTTTTAAAATTGCTTTTCAACTTTTGAAGAACCTTTCAATTTTACATCCATAATTCTTACCTAGAAAATACTTGATAAATTAAAAAAAGATATTTTGCGCACTGTATATGGATTAGTCCGTAATCTTCTAAAATAAGTATGATTAAATTAGAAATGCAATTTAATCATTCTAGTTTATAATGCGCATCTATTAGACAAATGGAAATATTTTATTACAAAAAATTTAATGAAGCAAAAATCCAATTTTTGCCTTTATTATGCATTTTGAAACTTTGGATACAATTTCTGATCTTATTCATATAAGAAGTCATTTTTTTTTCCTGTAATTTCCTCATACCATCAAAAAGTTAATTGATAATCAAAAGAGGATGTTTTACCGTAAGGATCATTGTAATCATTACTGTGTTCAGTGTCACTATTTTTATCATTTTGATGCATTGTATCATCCAGATCAATTCGCTTATCAAAACGTATACGTTTGCCAAATCGCATGATGCCCAAATGTGATCTTATAAAATGAATTGCTTTACTTTCTTCATTTGATCGTTTTCCATGCAAAGAACTGTCACTGGACTCCAATTCATCTATAAAATTTTTTGATATATATGCAGATAAAAAAAATATTCACTATTCATTTTGCTGACATGCTCGATTACACTCGCGCGATTACTTACTTTCCAATTTCATTTTCTGCGAATACTATCTAAATTTGCATTCAGCAAAATTTGTCTCGAAAGATGTTAAAGTTTCGATTTGACTGATTTGGAAAAGTTTATTTCTTTTATATTTTTTTCGTAATTAATAGACACAGCAAAGACAACTTACGTGATTATATAAATTACCCAAAAAATTTGCTTGTTTTCTTTTATTAAAATAAAATGATAAACTTATGTTGCTTGATTTGCAGAGACAATGACTGTATTTTGGTTTTAATCTCGATTCCATCAGACTGCTTTGGAAAAGTTTATTCTTGAGAAACTCATTACTAAATTATATTTTATTATTACGAGTGAAAAAATTAGAGTATTGATTTCTACGAGAAGGATAAAATAATTTTATCCGGTCGATGAGTTTTGTTATTCTCTATTTACAGTATGCTTTACTAACTTGACTTACTGTAAAAGACGTCATCTTTATAATAATGGACCTCTTTATCTCATTGTTTGTTAATAGTTTCATATAATGCTTTTTAAGATTTGAAAAAAGATTTAATAATTTTACATATTGAAATATTTATTACCTGAAATTCGAGCACAAGTTTGCATGTAATAGGTATTAATAGCAAAGAGTGTAATAATAGTGATGGTGAATGGATGCATGTGCAAAGAATGACTGGTTAAAGTGAGGTAAGGAGGAAGGTAGATAAAAATGACAATAGAAGGAGAGTTCAAAATGCAGCTATCCGAATAGCCCTAATGAATATCCAAGGTGTGTTTGATCCAAATATTTGTGGCCCATTTTGAGACTTGCTGCCTACTTATGTCTGCAATTTATTTAATGCATTCAAGCTTATTACACATTTACAAACGTATGCTCATATATGTACGTTTGATAAAATCTAAGCTTATATGTTATGTTTAAGCATGTAATCCGAATGCACACGTAGACACTTTCATTTGCAAAAGCAATTTACATATATAAGTAAAAAAGTTGCCATTTAAATATTATTATGTTCTCTGCTTTTTGTGTATTATTTTAAGTTCTTCATTTTCATTTCTCACTCTCTTCCTACTATATGATAAATGCCGTTATTCCTGTTACTCTCTTTATTCAACAAATTTGTCACAGTTGTGTTGTCAAACAAATTATCCATAATATAAATGTTATCTATTGCCACAGTTTTATTGTCGACAAAGAACTTTGAGAATAATTTCACAATCAAATTACTCAATCAATTTTAATAAAAATGAGGAATAAATATTATCTTAATCGCTAAATGAACAACTAAAATTAAGCAAGATTTTTTAGATTAGCTTTTTTAGTTTGCTAACATATACAATATTAAACGAAGTTAATATGATTAGATAAATCTCTAAGAAAGAAGTCGAGAAATGTAAATTTTTTGTGGATGCAAAGCTTGGATTATTAAAAACCAAGAAGTACCAATTTTTTCTGCTCAGTTTTAAAATTGATCATTATTATTTGACTCAATAAATTTATACTTGATATGTATTGCTTATATAAGTAATTAGTTTCTTCTCATTTCATTATTCTCATAACATCATATTTTGCATAGGTAATATCTCAAGTAGTTATTGAATTTGTTTAGCTGGATAATATGATAATCAGACATATGTATAGCAGAAGGCTAAAAGGTCACATCTGTGCTTGTAACTAGTCTTTTAATGGTTTTCTTCCATTAAACATAATGAATGTAAACACCATAAATGTAAACATTGTGAATGTTTGACACAGGAAAAATCACTTAAAGAAAAACTAATTATAGTAAAAAGTAATTATCAACCAACAAGATATACTGCAAGTTTTAAAAATAAATTTTTGTAAGCATAACAGAAATGTAATGATTAAAAGAAAAAAAAAGATGAAAATAACAAATCTATATCCGATCTTTTTAGTTTGACGATAAGCATTGTGAGCTTCTTGTGAAAACGAATATATAATAATTGTTACGAAAAATTTGCCAGAAGTTATT